ATGGAGAGATTGAAGATGTGGGTCACAGGGACTGTGATGATATGAGCAGCCAGCCTTAAGAAATAAGGTGGAAGTTCATCTGGACCTGCAGATTTTTTAGGATCAAGATCTTTTAACAGTTTATTGACCTCACTGACTTACAATGGAGAAAAACAGAAGGTGTGATTAACTGAGGATTGACTTGTAGGAGGGATTTGATTTGTAGAAGTTTGGTTATTAGGGGAAGTGGCTGTTCTTCCATAAGTAACTGTATCAAATAAAGAACCAGAAGCAACAAAATGTTTGTTGAAACAGTTCAGGATCTCGTGCTTATTTGACACAAGAACAGAGTTAACGAGAAGTTGTGATGGGAGGTCAGATGATTGGGGGGGTGCCTGAGAGAGATTTGATAGTTTTCCAGAATCTGTTAGGGTCATTTAGATTTTTGGAGGTCTGCGATAAGAAATAGTTGAGTTTTGCTGCTTTGACAGCAGTTGTGCATTTATTCCTCATCTGTCAAAAACTCAACCAATCAGTGTCTGAGTCAGATTTTCTCGCTGTGGCCCAAAGATGATCTCTCCTGTGCAGGAGATCAGCTAGCTCTGGAGTAAACCAGGGGCTGTCTCGTCCCTTTTTTCTGAACTGACGAAAAGGAGCATGTATGTTCAGAAAATAAATGAAACTATTATGAAAATAGTTCCAAGCAGAGTTCACATCATCAGTTAACAGAATACGATGCCAGTCAAAGTGAGACAGATCCCAGAGGAATGACTGTTCACAAAAACATTTCAAATCCCTTTTTTGAATTAGTCTGGGCTTAGAAGGTGGAAGTTTAATATCTCTCAAAGCAGCTATCACACAATGATCACTCAAAATATCAGCGAATACACCTGTACCAGGGAATTTGTGAGGCATATTAGTTAGAAACAGGTCTAAGATGGAAGATTTTTCAGGACGGTTTTTATTTAATCTAGTGGGAGAGTTGATCAGTTGGGTAAGTTTAAGAGACAAGCAACATTCCTTGAATTTATCACAGAGGGGGGTCGACTTACACCAATCAATGTTGAGGTCTCCAGCCAAAAGGACCTCATTGAATTTTAAATTACCAAGAAATTCCATCATGGCAGTCAATGCCTCAGGTGATGCTGGGGGGGGG